AAAAAAGTGAGTCGAATTTTATTGTCCATAATAATCTCAGAATTGTAATAATTTAATGTATAAGTGCATGCCCGTAAGACATTTCCAATTTCATGAAGACTCCCATTCCAAAGCATATTCTAATTTCTTATAAATATTCGACAAAAGATTTTATCATTGTTGCAAATATACTTTGTAATTAAAATCAGTAAGTATAACCTTCGAAAGTTTATTTGTATTTGTTCGTGAATAAACATTTATTGTATAATGTTTGCATTCACTACGCATAATTTCCATACATTCATATGCTCCACGTGCATAGGTAAAGTAAATATTTCGCAACGAATTTGCACTATATAATACAATGTATTGGAGACATTTTTAAAATTTACAAAAATTATGACGATTATCTGATATTTTATTTGTTTACTATTTGATATAAGCAAGCGAGGTAATTATAAGTTGGCAAAAATTTTAATGAATTTCATTGCATTGACAGACATATAATTACGTTGAAACTACACGTGCGAAAATATTAACTAATGTTAAAAATAATTATAATTATAGTAAAATAACTAACAAATAAGTGAAATAAATAAGTAAAAAACGTTACTTTTTGTATAAAACATTTTCTTTCTAATATGATTTCACCAGTCGACTTTATACATCTACAATATACATATAACAAATTGCATAGAATTATTAACTTCCCAAAACAGAAGTTTACATTTTCGCCACAAAATCTGATTTTTTATTGTATGTTTTCTCGACGTTTTGAGTCATTATGAATCGTAACGAATACATCATCAAAGTTTGGCATAATTGATTATAAAGAAATTTTGATTATAATTAATTAGCTCCATTACTTGACTCTAAAACAACTATTTATATTTAACTTTTTGTTCTACTAAATAATTTTATTTACAGCTATCACCCGACAATAGACGAATGTCACATAAATCAATCGCAAATGTATTTTTCTATTCCAAATCAATAAATACAGAGGTGAATTCAAAACAAATCAAAATCCAATATTCTGGGAATCACATCGCGTGTGCGTATATATATGCGACTCGCACAGTCCTCAATTAGGCAAAACAAATCATTTGATCAGGTCAGCAGATATAATTGTTAGACGAGAATCTGAAATAAATTTTTCAAGATAATAGACATTTGCAAAAAAAAACTTAGCTAAAAAATTAATCTTCTCCACGTATAATTTAAAATTTCACACGCTTCAATCGCCAGTTACAGCCAACTTTGTAAAAACGCCTTTTACAATATATTTACTAAAATCACCTATTGATTGGTTGTATCACTTATCATATTGGTTGATTGATTCATTGATCAATATACCTATCAATATACCTAATTGAATAGATTTTTTTATTTTGTTTCCATTATTCAATTACAATCTGTCTTTGCAATAAAATATTCAGTAATTTTGAAGATTAATGTAAATTATCAAATTAAAATTCAGAAAGGTTACCCCTAGTCAATAAGTCTTTTAAATTTTTTTTTCATATTTATTTGTTATCTTTTTAAATTTGGCGAATTAAATTTATCTTTGCAGTCATATGAAGTAAAATTAAAATAATGAAATATCAATAAAAGAAGTAAATATAACAAATCAAGATAAAAAAGTGAAATAAATAAATAAATAAAAATATAAATCCTCTATAATTTTAAATCCAATATTTTGAATAAATCAATCATACTTATTCATTCATTTGTAATGAATTGCTTATTTTCAAAACAAATTAACTAAAATTAATATTTTTTCATACAAGAATATCAGACAATTTAATTAAAATCAAACGGAGTAATTAAAATTATCAAAAAAAAAAAAGATTTTTAAATAGAATAGAAAACAGACAAGTTGAATTTTTAAGAGTGATGAAGTAAAATATTGAAATTGTTAAAATTAATATTTTCTAAATTAATAAAATTCAATATTTCAGATATAACATTGAAAATGTAGAGTGCAATACCCAATACGTGATACGAACGAAAATTGTTTAAAAACAATATTACTGACGTTTAAAATTTGATGATGCAATCCTTTATTTGTTTTATTGAACATAATAACTTATTTTGAATGAAAATATTTAAAAGATAGGCGTATTTTAAATATAAAAAAATTAATTTAGATATTTTTAATGGATTTAAATCGATTGTACGTATCTTGTAAAATTATTTAGATACAAGCAATGAAAGTAATGATTTTTTGTTATAAGGGACAAATTATTATTAAATTCTTGTAACTTGAGCAACTCATATTTTTTAGATATTAACACGAATCTGACCTTTTAAGTTCTATAAGCTTGTTTGATGACTTCCTAATTTTTATTTTGAGAATAAGGTAACTCGATGGTTGAAGTCATTTATATATTTAATATATTTTAATTTGATGTCTCTAAAAGTGATGATATAGGATTTAATTTTAATGCAGCAATGCCGAGGCAGTTCTATTTTCACTTAAACATTTCGCTATCTATATTTTCAAGTAAAATCCGATATCACTACTTTTAATTGCACTATTTGATAGTCAGTTTTATTCACATAATAAGTATGCGATATATACCATATGGATCAAACTCCATATCTGGATAATAAATTCATATATCAATAATAAATTCATAGATGCATAATAAATGTAATAAATCAAGTGATGATTTATTCTCAGACTTTTATTACTTCTTGTTTAACTTGCATTGAGTCATATAGTTAATAGAAGATTATTCCACGTTCTTTCTCTAATGATTTAACTATTGATCAATCTCAATTTTTTTCAAGGATCCACTACCAGCTCCCCCACTATCAATTAAGCAAAACAAATCATTTGATCAGACTGACAGATATAGACACTCTAATGAATATGCAAAAAAGTTCACGCATATATAAAAAGTAACAGGAACAGTACGCGTGTCCGCCGTACGCACAAAACGCACACATACGCAACGCGTGCGGTTACGCACAGACTTACTGGCGACGGCAGGCGCCTCTGCCGAACAGGGTTAGGCAATCATGCTGGCTGGCCGAGATAATAATGGAACACCGGTAATGGTCTTTGGAGAATATATTGGATAGCTTTTGCTAAATAAAATTTTTAAAAATAGTGGTGCAAAAGGCATTGTGCTTAGATTTGGGCGACGAACTTTATATGTTTACAAAAAAAATATATTATATAAAAAAAAACCTGATCCTTGTCTTTATCCTAAATTTCTAATTATGCAACAGTTTGAAACTGATTTGCAAAGTTATAATTTTTTTATTTCAAGTATATAAATATTTTAAGTATATTTTTGAACATTGTAATAAAATATGATATTCGAAATTTGAGATTTGTTTAAAATTTTGAAAAACTTAGGAAATTTGAAAAAAAAACAAAATTTGATTTCTTTTGGATGTTTTTCAAGAGGTTGAAACCCCTAGACCTGGTTTCCCCAAATATCATTTTTTGACATAGCCAAAAATTCCGTCCTCTCAAAAATTTATATCTTTTTACTTTAGGCTCCGTATATCCAAAACTGCTGGACCTGCCTCTGTTAAAAACTTATTCGTCAATACCAATCGAATGGTCTTTGAATCATTAAATCAATTAATCCTTGCTCTCGTAATCGTGCACAAAAATTTTATCCAAACATATACACTAGAGTGGTCCTTAACATGGACATTTTCGAATTTCCTTGCTCCTAAAGGCTCAAATGGTTCCAAATTGATAAAAAACAATTCTCTGATTTCATGCTATTTCCATACAAAACTTTGATTGAATTGCGCTCTATCTAAAATACAATATTAAGAGCTAAAACTTTCAGAGAATTGTTTTTTTGCAAGGAAATTCGAAAATTACCGACAGAATGAATAACGGAAGCAAATTCCAAATTTAACAAGTAAAGGTTCAGCAAAAAGCATAATTTTAGTGCCACATATTCTATTTAAAATTGCGACTTTTAACTGTTCCTTTCACATAACATTTTCTCGTTTAAACTGTATTCAGTTTAATTCATGCTATTTTATTTTTATTCACTTTGTATCATAATTTTTTTTAGTTTTATTTTTTTGCATATTTCAATTAATTTTTGTAATTCATAAATCGATACTTCGATTAGAATATACACTGCGGATTATATACTGAGAGTTATAAAATAAAAATTAGAAATGATACATTTAGTAAATTTACATAAAATTTACCAATTTAGAATTTTTCATAGTATTTTCTAATTGAATTGAATGTATAAGAAAGGGTTTAGAGATTAGTTAAGAAATTTACTTAAAGAATGTATAATTGAATTGAAATATGATTTAGAGAGGGTTTCAATATTATTAATATTATATATTATATATATACATATACCGATACATATAAGCATTATTCTGTCGCACACAGAACCCGTACCGCGGATTGTGCCTAGACCCGGAGCAAAGCCTCGTTCCAGGTTAAGAACAGAAAAGGAGACACATATGAAGGCAAAATGTTGGTATACAATTTGGTCAATGACGAATGATTTTATGAATTTTCTGTATTGCATATGAATACAGAATTTGTGCACATTATTGGGTATATTATTTTTTATAAGAACCAACATCAATTTGTGATGATGATGAACTACTATATTTTAAATTGGATTCTCTACAATGCATTATGATTATGATATAATATAAAAAATCATTACAATTTACCACAAAACGGCTAAAATGTCATTTGATCTGTCCTAGTTTATTATTACTAGTCATTGTATTATTATCACTGACATAATATATTCTGCGTCTAGAGAGCACATAAAAAATCTGCATATGAATTTGCTCATAACTTCCAATCTAAATATAGCTCAAACACTTTAACATATGATATAATATCAAGAATACTGCGATATCAACACTCGCGTCACATGAAGAAAGTCGGAGAGATATCGGAGAAGCAATTTGCAATAAAACCTGTATATATGCGCTCTGAGATAAATATCTATTTATTGATAAATTATTTCTAGCGAGCTTATCGATATAAATTGCACACTTACATGTCTCGTTTGATCTTATGGTACACATTCATATATGATTCGGATTTGCTTCACTGGGTATATTGGATCTGACACAAAAATAGTTCACATTGATCTATAGTTGAAGTACTTTCTTAAGTCACATTGCACCCACGAGCACTAAATATACATATATAACTAAATAATAGAAATGATATTATAAATACCAATAAATCAAAATGCAAATAATCCAATCTACTAACTGAAATTTATAATTTTTAGGATTATAGATTCAACAGATTCACACGTTGCCAAAAATACTTAAGAATGGCAATCTTTGGCAGTCAAATAACCATTAATTAAACTGTGAAAGTTGCCATCTACGATTGATATTTACATTATAAGTACACATAAATATAAACACATGCTTAAACACGAGCATTTATATTTGTTTGTATTAGAAATGGAGCAAAAAAGATATACATGTATGCTATATACACAAATATATCGAATCATTCGAATCAAGCCTTTAAACCTGATTCGAATCACATTTTAGTTGATTCGAATCAAAAAATATTTACTGTGTTTCAATATGTATGAACATCAATTTTAATAAATATGGAAAAAAATGTTGGTAAATATGAATGTAATAAAAAAAAATTAAATAAAGTAAACGAATCATGTGAATCACCCAATTTCAATCGACTCATTCGAATGATCTGAATTAAATCGAATTGAAAAAAACACGTTATCAATAGACCCAAGATTCCAAATATTGTTTTATATGCTTTAGTGATGCAGAAGTATCTTATTAACAATTCAATCAATCGTCTTCAGCATTAAAGCATTTTTAATCATTTTTGTAATTTTTTTTATAGTAAATTAAGTTAGCTATCTCTACATTTTCGACTTTATTGGTTAAGCTTAACAGTTTCTATCACAAATTTTGATCACATATATTAACAAAATCTAGCTATGGCTTTTTGTCTTGTTCGGTTTTATTTGACTTGATTCGAGTTGATTCGAAACAGGTTTTAGTCTTATTCGAATAAGGAAATTTTCGAGTCTATTTATAAACAAGTTTATTGCTTCAACACTAATTATTTTATTAGTCCAATTCTTCACTTAAACCTCATGAACTCATCACATTAGCATAAGTAAATATGCGATCAATAGCATTAGCAAAGCACAAAATAACCGTAATCCAACTTTAACGACTTTTCCAATAATTTCCTGACACGTGCTTCATACATAGGACTATTTATATCGAGGAAACCTACACTTAATTTGAAATAAAACGGCAAGTGCTAATTATTTTCAAACGCACTTCACTGCAGCATATTGCGATCAAAATTCTTACATAACATTTTAATTCTCTTCGCTACGAGTCACACAAATCACCATCGTCCGTCGCACGTGCATGCACAAGCCCGAAGGTTTTCCGAGAGAATTGGCCAATGAATATTATATTACTTTCCTCGATGAAAATTCTCATTAGATAGTCGACAAGGTAGTTTATTGAAATATTATTAGGTGTAAGAGTTTTCATGAAAATTTCAAAACCGTCGCGAAATGTGTCACACACGCGCGTCGGCGAAATGCAACTGACTCGCTATGACATTGACATTGACAGTAAACGCATTCGTAGACAGCAACGGTTTTACATGGGTGATACCTCATAAACAGGGCTTTGCAAAATATATATTTTTGAATTATTTAAATTATTAGTCCCCAAATTTTGACTTCAATTTAATTAAACATATACAATTCATCGTAACGTAGAAACAAACCTAGCACAACAGATTTATAAATACACACTCAAACTGGTCGGGAAGTTTTTATATCTTCTTCGGAAAGAAGAAGAGCGAATGGGACCAACTAGATCCAAAATTTAACTAAGAGTGGAAATTATAAAATTTTAGAGCCACCCCCATAACGTTAGGCCTAACGGCGGTTTACTTGAAGACCAGAGGCCAGGGATAAGAGAAGATTTGCATAGAGAGGAACATACCCAGACAAAAGACCTAGCCTGACATGCGTAAATATATTTTGAACGCATGATCGATCTAGAGACTGAACATACAAATCTGCAAATACTAAAATTTTACTAGAATTTAATAATTACTAATTATATAAAGTTCTTCATTACCTCAAAAAATAAATTCAAAGCATGCACATTTGGTTGGAAAATTAATCCCCAATATTTATATTCTATATCTGTATCTATTCATACCTATCTTTCTGATCTTAATCCTTACATTATTTGTATGATTTTTTTTAAACTTTTTTCAGGTTTCTATGACTTTCATTGTTTAAAAGCCTAGACTTTCAAATGTGCAAGGATGAAATAATATTTCCAAAATATCCATCATTGCTACTTCAAAGTCAAAAGACCTAGCCTGACATTGATAATTGTTAATTATATACATTTTTTCTTTATTTCAAAAATAAATTCTAAACATGCATGTTTAGTTTGAAAATTAATCCCTAATATTTATATCTACATCTGCATCTATTCATATTTATATTTCCATAAAATGTATCATATCTATTTTTGCGATATAAATCCTTACATTATTTTAGTAATTTTTTTAAATATTTTTTACAACTTTTTTTGTGGGTTTCTGTGGATTTCAATGTCTAAAAGCTTACACTTTCAAATGTGCCAGGATGAAATAATATTTTCAAATTATTTATCATTGCTATTTCTTCTGTCCCCCAATTTCTAAAGTTAGTTTTGTAGTGTAAAGTTATAATTTTCAGGTCTCTTTTAAAATCAGTGTCTAAAAATCAACACTATTAGTTCATTATGCCTAGATTAAATTCCCAACTAAATCAGCAATATTCTATGCATGCTCAACCTCACACCAGATACAGCATGATTTATTTTGACAATATCTAGCATGATTTATTTTGACATCAGGTCAAGAAACATCATAAGCATATTCCATTTCCTTCAGCATATGAGAATACTTCTTAACTAATTAATTTTTAATATTTTTACTGACTTCAATCCTTCGACAGTATAATAAATCTTGATTTGCTATTTTGACCCTGTCATATGTCTGATATTTTCCAAGTTGCAGCACTACCTGGTTATGGGATTATAGATTTTTACAGGAATTTCTTTGGATTTTTTTCAATATGATCAATATTCGATAAATCCAATGCAAGCCCTGGCCCGATATATGTCGGTTATCTCAATGTGACTGATGTATGAATAGAACTTATGCACACGCGTGTAAAACGCAAAACGCACACATTCGCGAATTCGTGTATTTTTATT